TAAGGTATCCGTACGAAATACCCTAGCTTGCCTAGGGCCTATCCGTACACTGATGGTTTCCACCCGCTGTATCCGTACGGATGCTATGTTTAGCGCATCTCGAACGGGGGACTGCGAGACGTCAATATTGAATAGGGGCGAGGCTAGCTAGTAGGCGACAACTGTCTCGAAGCATCAGCCGTACTGCCGTTTTGCCGGGCCCGGTGACAGTAGGTATAGCATGAAAGTTTCCGATCTTGCGTGGACAGCATAGCGCAGCACAGCAAACGATGCATGGTGAGTTGTATGCTAAGGTGCTGCTGTAGTCTGCATCCTGTAGCAGGCGAAAATGGGCTGAGCACTCTTCTATGTAGTAGCCAAAGTACGTCGGGCATTGAGCCTCTCAGTGTGCCCTACGAAGCGACACCAATCTGTCAGTGGTAAATCGAGGCTCACGTCCAATGGTTCCGAAAGAGGCACCCCGTAAGACAGACAGGGCAGACTGCGATTGGGGGCCAAGACTAGCCATCTGCAGATGGATTTAGTGTGACGCTCCGCTTCACGATGCAGGGAAAAGACCAGAGAGAGTCACACACATACGCGCAGACTCCGCCCCTCTGAAAACAAGGCATCACCACTTACTTTTGCTAGAGTTTTTTTTTCTTTTTCTTTTTTCAGTATTCGAAGAAGATCATGGACGTCGGGAAATGTGCTTTGGGCCTGGCACTCTTCAGTCTAACAATCATCATGCATATCAGATACTCAAAACAGACAGTTATGACAGAAACTATGCGATACGCGTCACTCTCGTCCAATAGCCGACATTTCTGAGTCGAGGGGGAATGGAGAAGAGACGCGGGCTCCGACGTGATCAACAACAAAACGAAACAAGTCGAGATGCAGAGGCCAGCTCGAGAACCAAGGACGTGGATCCCGAGGAGGCCGTCCCTCAATGTCTCAATTCTGGTCGAGATTGAGAAGAGTCTCACTCCAGTTTCCATCTCAACAGGCAGTAGAGGTAAGGAACACCACGCTAGAGGGCACCATCGACAGGGCCCTCGGGACCACCTACAGCAGGGATCCAAACCATCGGGGGCAGTGCTGGCCCCTTCCCATTGGCTACTTGCATCGTTCAGCACACCCATCAGACGAGGCTGTCCCCCTCCAAGTGCCCTGCAAGTGCTCTCCAAAGGGCTCCAAGTGCTACGGAACGGGAACCCCATCACGCTGGATCAGACTTTACACCACAGTAAGGTAGGCACTTCCCTACCCACCCATGTCCTCAGCTATGCTGACATGCATATCCACGCTTCCCACTCTCGTTGAAATTACCCTTTTACTGTCTCTCGAATGCCTTCGTCCCTCGAATTTCTTCGAATTCTCGAAAATAATCCTAAACTCTCGTTCAACGACAACTTGTATTCTTACAACTCCGTTCCTTCGTCTCCGTTGCCATTTGTTATCCTGTCCCTCCAATGGGCTAATGATCATACCCATACGCTCTCCGAAGCCGTACCCCTCTGACCCCTAAAACCAGAGTAGGCTTGACTGAGCAAAGAATTACCTCCCTCCCGCGACGACAATCCGTCAGCCATACGCACGATCGATTTGGCCAACCAACACACACATATAGAGGAAAGAAAAGAGGACTTGATCCGGAGGCAGGCTATCAAGCCGCTGCAGCTCGCCCGCCATGTGTCTCTCTGTACGTCTCTTACCCTATCCCGTAGGGGTTGTGCGCTCAATGCAAGGCTCCGGCATTGGCAACGCCCGCATATGATGCCTCTCCTGCACTTTCCCAAAGCCTTTGACACTGGCCTCGAGCTCGTGGTCAATCATCGCACATAGACTTACACATCTTGACAGTTCTGGCGCCGCAAGACCGCCCCGAGCAACGAAAAGACACAAAAGAAACGAACCCTCACGATGCCGCTATGGTCCTCCTCCAACAAGACCTCCGCCAACACCCTCAAGAAGATGGTCGGCCTCACCACGATCCTGGCGCCTACACGAGACGGCTTCCACTTCCCACCCGCTCCCCGGCCGATGCCCCTCATCAATATCACAAACGTCGACGGCGCTACGGACCCCAAGGAGGCAGTAGTTTCGCCCAGTCCCGATGAGATCCTGCTCAGCCAGGCCATTCGCGAACGTTTCGAGAAGATATTCAACGACCTACGCTCCCGCCGCTCTTCACTATCCCGCGAACCTTTTGTGACCCGCGACCAACTACTCGTATTCCTCGAGAATACTCAAGGCGAGACCGATGTCGAGGCTGTATTGCCTGAGGGTCAGCAACGATACAACTATGGCGAGTTCCTCGAATTGTGGTGGAGAAACTACGGCTGGGATGCCACCCGCCCAATAAAGGAGGAGGACAAGGACTTAAGCCGGCCCATTACGAACTACTTCATCAGCAGCAGCCACAACACATACTTAGAGGGCAACCAGCTTGCCTCCAGGAGTTCGCCCGAGGCTTACAAAACTGTATGTTGTCCAATGCTCGCATTCGCTCAGCAAAGAAACATAACTTCTAACACATGAACTGCAGGTCCTTCGCCGTGGATGTCGGTGTATCGAAATCGATATCTGGAACGGAGACACACCCATCGCAACACAAGAGGGCAGCCGCTCCCCCAAACCTGATCACTCGAGGAATCTGTCTGGCTCCTCCCTTCCCAACGTGGCTGCAAGCGTCAAGGAGACGGTGGAAGATCTCCTGATCGAACGCAGCACGAACGGCAATGGCCACAACAGAAACACCAGCACTGCCAGCAAATCTCTGAATCCTCGCGATAGTGCCACTCTACTGGGACCGAGCGAGTCCACCGACTCCCTCGGCAAAACCCTACGGCCCTCATCGCCGACCCCCTCAATGAAGAATCGCCTGCCGTATCCCAAGGATGAGCCCATTGTCACACATGGCTGGACTTTGACAACTCCTTGTGGCTTCAGAGAGGTCTGCAAGGCCGTTCGCGAGTCCGCCTTCGAGACGAACGAATTGCCCTTGATTGTCAGTCTTGAGGTCCATGCCGACAAGGAGCAGCAGGAGGTCATGGTCAGGATCATGAAGGAGGAGTGGGAAGGCATATTGATCGACAAGTCTTGGGAGGGCATTGATCCCCGGTTCCGCCTCCCCAAGCTCGAGGAGCTCAAGCGCAAGATCCTGGTCAAGGTTAAGAAGGCGCCTAATAAGATTGAGGTGCCTCCCAGCACGACAGCCCTCTCTCAAGTATTTGCCAACGACGAGGACGCTTCGGGTTCCGACGATGAACGCAACAAGGAGGCACCTAAGCAAGAGACACCGAAACCGCCCATGACACCCAAGTTCGATGCCCCGGCCAAGGTCCATAGTGGAAACGAGCCGGCCAAGAGCACAAAGGTGGCCATTTGCCAGGCACTCAGCAGTCTGGCCATCTACACTCATAGCGAGCACTTTAAGAGCTTTGAGACACCGGCGGCTAAGAAGCCGAGTCATATCTTTTCGATAAGTGAGAACAGGATCCTAGAACTGCACACGACCAAGGCCCGCGAGATGTTCACGCACAATAAAAACTTCTTCATGCGGGCATTCCCCAACGGCTCGCGTGTCGACAGCTCCAACCCGGACCCCAGTCTCTTCTGGCGCAAGGGCGTGCAAATGGTTGCTCTGAACTGGCAATATCTTGACGAAGGAATGATGCTCAACGAGGGCATGTTCGCGGACGAGCTGGGATGGGTCCTCAAGCCTATTGGATACCGCAGCACTGACAAGGACACGCTGACAGAGGTCGACGCCGCGCCGCAGGGCGACCTGGAGCTCACCGTCACCATCATCGCCGGCCAGCACATCTTTGTCGACGACGATTCTGCCAGCGACAGCAGCCGCGGCAAGCACCTCCGGCCATTTGTCAAGTGCGAGCTTCACGTCGAGATTGGAGCGCAGAACGGAAAGGCTGCGGACGAAGATGACTTCAAGCTCAAGACGGGGTCGAGAAAGACTGACCACCCCGAGTGGGAGAATGGAGCACGGCTCAAGTTCCCCAAGATCTCGAGGGTGGTGGAGGAGTTGAGTTTCCTCAGGTAAGAAAAGTCACGGTTTCCTTTTTTTTTTTTTTGCTTTCTTTCTTCCTCCGACAGCGGCATGTCTGGGCCTACGGGCCTTGACGATCTTTTGAGAATATGACTCGAGAAGACGGCGAGAAAGATGTGCGCGGCTCCGTGCCTACCCTCCCGCGCGCTGGCGTGTCCGACTTGTAAGACCAGAACAGCTCCGGCGGTGTAACGTTGTCCGAAGTGGTGACAGCTCCCCGACCCCCGGGAATGGCCTGATTCATCCTCGGATGCCATGCCGGGACCCGTTGCCGCTCTACGTCATAGGCACGAGACGGGAACGCTCGTGGAACGAAGTCGGTCGTCGAGTTGTGCCCCCTTCCATGCCGTGTCACCGTCCCCTTCCCGTCCACGAACCGTTGATCCGTCAATACTCACCTGCCACGCGGGCCGCCGCGTTGACAGCCCGGACCGCAGCACACCGCAACGTTGTTCTTTTTTCTCCCGCTTCTCTGCATCCTGCGAATAGCCACGACCAAAAAATAAATGAGGATGGTTTTTACTGACTTGTGTTTGAACCGCGCAGATTCAAGATTGAGGATGATCCACTCCTCGGTGGCGACGAGCTTCTCTCGTGGGCATGTATCCGCCTCGACCGTCTACGTCCCGGTTATCGCTTCATCAAGCTCATGGACACCAAGAACAGGCCGATTGAAGGTGGTAAGCTGCTCGTCAAGATCGATAAGGTGGTGCGGTAGAGACCCGCGCGTCCCGTCCGTCTGTCCGTGATATCGTATACCGTACCCGGCCTAGGGGCAGAGGCGAAAATGCTGTAACGCGCGATGTGGCAGACATACTAGCAGGGAAAGCCCTTTTTTTTTCGTTTTGTTCCCTTTTTCTTTCTCTGGCTCTGCGGGTTCCTATGGGAGGCTCTGATACCTTTTTTTTTTTTTTTTTCGCATAACACAGTTGGTGACTTAGGCGTTGACATGGCGTTCATTCGTATTCTTCTTCTTTCCTTTCTCGAGGCGAGCGATACCTATTTCCCCCTGCTGCAACCTAGAGTTTCAGGTTTTTTATTCCCTATCAAGCCAGCCACCTTTTTCTTTTCTTCTATAATTTCCTTTTCTTCTGAGCATACACTGTACGCGGCACATTCGGAGAGGTTCCTTCGCGTGTCTCGGGGAGTTTTTCTCCTGTTTTGATCGAGAGGCGAAAATTGAGAATTGGATGAAAAACAACGGGAGAGACAAAGCAGGTCATCTCAGAGTCATGAGAGGTCATTTCCTTATTTTGGGGGTGGGCGGCGGTGGTGGTTTGAGAGAAGGAAAACCCTTTCTCTTGACGAGGTCAGAAGATCAAGAGACAGGATTATACGCTGGTGGGAAAGGATTGTCTCAAGGTCACTGAGATAAGACACACAAACACACACACATGAGAGACAAGACAGGGCGCAAAAGGACGAACAGCACACATACAAACCTACAAACCTGTGGGGCGCCGATCTTGACGCAGAGAAGCGCGAGGCGGGATGGAAACCGAATACCGTACCGTACGTAGTGGAGAGAGGAAATGAATAATTCCAAGGTAATTCACCTACACATGTAGACTCTGTTTTTGGGAGGCCCATTCAAGACCCCAATCCGTGACATGTCGTTGCTTCCGTGTGACCATTCCTGTCTCTTCTGTCAACGACTCCCTCCCTAAACGGTCTCATGTGTTGTCCAACGTGACCGGATCTGGGGGGGGGGCACCCTGTTGCCGGCCATCCCGAAGCTTGACCGCCGCCCGCCATGAAAGATCTGTCATATTCGAGTATTGACCAACGCGAACTTGTGAGGATGTCCTCCTGTATTGCTGTGTAGCAGTCAAATACGACGGGTTGTCACTGCAATGTAGACGGAAAGCGGATACCTGCCAAACCCTGTATCGGGACATGCAGGACGAACAACGAATCTCATCAATGGCATGTCGGCCGTATCCCATACCAACCTCTTTTTTTTTTCTTTCTCTCTCTCTTTCTGGCGTATTGTCTCTCTGCAACGGTCATGACCATCAGGGTAGCTGTCGGTTCCCATGGTAGCATGTCGTGGGACCACGAACGGGATTCTTCTTTTCTGCCTCACGTCACACCTGGGCAGACGTACTTCTTGGTTGTACGACGCCGGGAAGGAAGACAATAGACTCGCGGACCAAGGGAATTCTCTCGTCGAGGTTGAACGATATGACTCTCGAGACTGTGTAACCTTTGAAAAATGTTTGATGACGGCCACGAGTTCCGAGTTGACGGGGGAATCATACACAGCCACCGGTAGACTCCATTCCCTGCTGTCAACAACAGATGAGAAAAAAAAAGACATCTTCCTCCTGCCGCTCTGTTGCCGCTTCTTCGACGGGAGTCGGTCCTCGTTGAGCCGCCGTGTAATGACTCCGGTTGTGAATCCACCACCCGTTTCCGTGCCAAGAGGACTGACTGCAGCTGGACTTACTGCTCGTAAAGGCAAGGTTCTAGACTGCTTCTGTCCGCCATCATGCGATGGTTGCCTGCGACAAATGAAGGCTCTCATGAACCCCACCAGTACCAATCTCAACCCTGGTGAGGGCTCAGCAGACGACGCTGCAGCCCTGCCCGGCTCTTGCGGCTTGGCACCGAAAGATGCACGATTGGCAACCCTTCCTGCCTGGATATACCTAACCCGGTGGCACCAGTCGTGGGCTGCAGGCTCGGCATAAGAGAGCAAGCCACCGAAAAGAACAGATGAAGCTAAGCGGGAGTGCGTCGATCCCCAGGAAGTCTCAACCCGCTGTGGCGGGCGTGATGGTATAGCCAAAAGGCGAGGTTCCCAGTGTGGCCGTTGGTCGTGAGACAAGTCATAACGTAGAATAAGAAAGATTGTTCCAAAGTTATCCAATGAAGCCATTTCATCTTGCATGTCTGTAAGACAAAAAAGGAACAATGGCCGTCATGTGCAATCATAGCGCCGGACTAGATGGTATCTGGCGCGGCCCGACAGTAGGCAACTTGTCAGTTATCACCGGGGATAGATTTGCCGGTGCGACTGATCCGACCAAGGGGTTCGTCGTGGAATAAGCAGCCTTGGCTGCAGGTTTTGAGTAGGCATTTCGACAGTCCATCCCCTCGAGCCGTCGCGGAGAAGCCAGGGCCAGTTTATGCAACTCGTAGCCATCAGAAGTTGGCCGTCTTCCTGTCCGCAACGAGTACAAATGTCGCCAAATTAAAGTTGACGGTACTATGGCTTGATATTGAGACAGGCGATTGGTGGTTACCTGGCGTTGCGGGAACTAGGGCGGTGTAACAAGGCTATCACCAAGCGCCTAGCCCTCGAGTAACAACAGGAGTTGGTCATGGCAAAGGTGTCCAAAGTACCTAAAGTACGTATGCAAAGCGCAAGGGTTCGGGAAGTGAGACATGCGTTTGTTCTGTCAATTGTGAAAGTCGTTTGGCGGGGGCATCATCGAGATCTCTCTCAATCTAAAAGTACCGTTGGGAATTGAGCCTCTGGTTATTGAATAGTGATGAAGATGTAACAACCCACCATTGCCTCTCGGTTTTGTGACTGGCCATGTGGTACACTGGTCGGGCTGCTGCGGGCGGTTCCGACAGTCTGGTCGACTAGCTAGGTATGCCTGTCGTCCATGAGCATGTCACCGAGGTTTTGGTGTTTTCTATGGAGATGATCAGGAGATTGAGGGAGGGATTGTTCGTAGATCCGATTGAGCTTCAAAATGGGGCTGACTTGAGACTTGGATCCTGGTCTTGCGTCAATCATTACCTCTTAGCCTTGCCCAAAAAGCGGTTATTACCATGTGTCAGGAACCTCGAGTTCGAGACTTGGAGCGGCAAGCCATCAACTAGGCCATGAATCAAAATAGCAAAACGAGGAGACGGAATAGTTGTAGTCCTTGTTGAGGATCCTGGCGACTATCGTTTGGCGTTTTGATGAGACGTAAGTCCATCGAAACTGAGGCTGCCAAAACAACACGTCTCTCCGGTTGCTTGCAGATGTAATGCAAGTACCCTCACCGCAAGGGACTCGTTGTTGGTGATATGTAGTCATGGAATACGCGAAATAATTGCTGAAAACCTGTTTGTTCTCGTGCTTGGGGCCAGCTCCGGAGCAGTCAATGGAATGTTTTGACAGGCGATACTGGTGCAGCCAAGTTTCCCGAAGCAAGGGCGGTAGATTGAGTAGCTCAGCTGTGCTTGACCTAGACACTATTGGTTTAATGCGATATGCTGGTCGGACTTCCCAACAGCAGAGCCTCTCGGAGTTTCGCACATCGTTGCTGCCACATCCTTGCAAGAAGAATATTGTCGCTGTTTTCCATGGTTCCACCATATTTCGAGCGCGACCAGATCGTGGAATTGTTGAATAGTGATCGCGACGGAGGAAATGTCTTTGAATGGGCGGGCAGTGAAGCTCTGCAGCCGGAGATGTAGTCAATGTGACAGATCACTTTCTTCCGTTCGATTGCGCCTCCATGAAATTGGAAGCGGAGGCTGGGACAATGCCGGGCATGTACCGATTTTCGATGAGAGACTGACTGATCGACCGCGCATCTCGTCTACGAGATGACAGGTCACATCGGCCTCTTAGTATGCTTGAGGCCCGCGCAGGAGGTGGGCATTGAGGCTCTCAAATGGCCCCCGAATCTGACACTGAATATCAGTGGTGTTACGCACAAAGCTGTCTGCAAGAGTATGCAGGTCGAATGTTGGAGGCATCGACTGCTAGATGAAGGCCAAGGGACGTGTGTTGGTACATCGGCTAGAGGTAGTGACTACTGACCAGTCGTTGACACTGGTTGGAGGCTCAGAGCGTGCGTGTTGTGTGTTCCGCTAGTGGTGGTCACAAATGACAATAATGATATTTCGCCGAGAACAATTGACACGTCGATTCGCCTGTTGGGCATTTGAAACCAAGATGTGTGAGACATGAGATTGTCTTATGGGGCTCCTGGGTCGGCGCCGGCTAACATTGTCGATTCACATTTCGGTGACGATGGAATCGGGATTTTTGAATCCAGACCCTTCGATGATTATCGGTGAGTCTGCCCACATGCATTTGGAAGATGGCCTGCCATTGAATGGGTCGGTGTGGATTGAGCTACACCTGAGCCAGGGCGAGCCGCGGCACCATACTCACCGATCAACAACGACTTTGCCCCAAGCACAAAGTAGTTGCACACCTTCCTCGTCTGATGGAGGTTTTGTTGGCAATGCCTCCAACACACGGCGGCACGTCTGCGAGAACGGCCGGGACGACAGCCGGAGGCCCGAAAACGTATGATCTCGTGTTTTTCGGCAGGGCTGGTGTTATGGGGTGAGATGCAAAGACGTTGGAAAAGGCCACTACGACGCCACATTGTGTCCAAACCTTGGCACATGTGTCAAACCTCGTTGGCGTCGCTTGGACCAAGGGCGGGCTGTGGTATTACACATTCACTTTTTTTTTGCGGCCTCGTATTGCGGCCTCGTCACACCGCGGTAACAACAAGTAGGGTGTGCGCACCGTAGATCGCGGGATGTGATGGCGGCTACGGCTGAACGTCAAAGTCTACGCGGCCGATTACGGTGCGACCACCTGCGAACCAGCTTGCTGGGATGAGGCTAGGCTCCTACCTTCTGCAGTAGTCGGTGAGCTGTGCAACAAACAGCAGCGCCAGGCCGATAGGTATTGTGGTCGACTTTGGAGAGGGTGTGTTAGGATTGTCCACGTTTCGAGGTGTAAGTCCATCCACTGGAGCAGCGATATCGCGAACGATGAGCGAGATCCCGCTGACTTGGAATTAAACTCCCGTTTGACGAGCAGAGGCGGCGCCAGATGTTCACATTCCCAACAGACCTCCACTTGGGGGACTCTCGTCGTTTCCGTCGAGCCGAGCTGCTCTTTGCCCCTGCTCGCGATAGCTAGGTAGGTAGTTTGTGGGTGCGGGCACGGTGCGGAAGGAACGTTGAGGACACCGTTGACCTCTCAGTCCAACGAGAGAGTCCATGGCCACTTTCGATCGATGCGTAGGCGAGTTGTTGCAGAACAGGACGCTAAGGAGCCTGGGATGAGGAGAAGGGAAAGAGAAAAGCAATTATGGGCAAGGGAGCCCGTAAGTCCGTGGAGCAGGGACTAAAAGAAGAAAGCGGACTTTTGCGTCGAGTGGAGACATTTGAGTGGGATTTGAACCAAACGTGAACCTTGGGTCCCATGGGAAAAGAAAGAATGGAACGGATTATTCCATCAGAAAAAGAGAATAGAAAAGTAAGTGGGATTTGGCGAAAAGAGAGCAAAGCGTTGCCGCGGCCGGGTGTTTGCAGCAGTGGACGTTGCGGAAAACTCGGAGGGTGGGCCACAGAGGGCATTTCCACGGTCGTACGTTTCTAGGTAAGAAGAAATGAAGGGATAGCAAGGTAAGGGAAGGAAAGAAACCAAACGCAAAAGAAGTCTTGGTATCATTGACATTGAAAGGTAAGGAATGATGTAGTGTAGGGGAAATGGGGACCTGATGTTTGCTAAGGTGGAAGTCTCATTCTCTTGCCGTAGGTAATTGGTTCCACTGTGGTTTGCGAGCCCAGTTTTCTCAGGGCATGCAATCAGAGATAGGAGGAAGGGGGGAAGGGGGAGGGAGCGCAAGGTAAAGAAAAGAAGCAGCAGCTGACGCAAGGAACCACATTCCACGCTTTGAAATCTCGGTAAAACTAAGAAAAAGAGGTTTGATGTCGATGATCGACCCCGGGTCGTGGTTTACATTCTTGGAAGTTTGAACCTCGCGCTCGCGGTACGTATAGTACACCCACACTCGTACACACTTTCCCTTCCAAGCTGGTCATTGCAAGTGGAGATACAAGATACTTGACAGAAGCGACGTGGAGGCAAGAGCTCTATGCTGTGACGCAGAAAAGAGGCAGGTCGTATTTTCCTTCTTTCTCAATCTCATGTACAGATATGTGCCCATCGAGGTTGACGGATGTAAGTACCCACATGCAAGAGAACGACTCGGCATATCTGTATGCCTTCCCTTTCTCTTCCCCCTTCCCCTCGTAGGGGTGAGAAGCGCAGAGAAGAAACCCCTCCAGGCTCCTCCTGTGCTTTCTTGGAGATTTGACACGGGGGTCCCTTGGGTTCTCTTGTGGCCTCTCCCTTTACGCTTTGTTACACACGTGTTAGCCCCGCTTGAGTGCATTCTGGGCAGGGCTAGGCAGGAACTGGGGGGCTTCAACGACGACGTTCCTAGTTTGATTAGTGTACGGATACTTCGCAGGTTCTCATATCGGAAGGAGCTGAGCTGAGCCAGAGCGAGACGAGAGAGAGAGAGAGAGCTTGCGCGCTGCATCGGAGCTTTCAGCCCTGGCGCCTAGTAGTTGGGCCTCAGGCGCTTTTAGACGACGGTCCAGATTTCACCATGTGACGGGAATGAATGATGATCAACAAAATTAGGAAAGGCTAGACAGGGCTGGGAAATTCGAACCTGGGGGTGGGTAATGGGCTGGGCTGAGATTCAGACGCAGTAGGCTAAGGTATGGACACTGGTGAGATACGGTCGACCTGAGGTTCGAGATTCAGCTCGAATCAAGGGCTATCCCCGAAAAAGAATATGGGAAATAACAACTACAAGTTCGGGGCAGTTATTAGTCAGAAGGTGAATTGCGCGAGAGTGACGGAGGGTAAGGTAGGTAGGTACCTCGTAGGCAAAAAGGAAGGCCATCGATCAAAGCGGTACATTATCGGAGTGCGAAGAAAAAGGTGGGTATCGGATCTGGTAGCATCTTAGCCCTGGCATCTAGGGAAGCAGGGGCAATGGCTTCTGCCTCCACCATCACCACTACTTCCTGACGAGTGACCACCAGGAGTGTGCCGAGGTCGCACAACTACTGTGGTAAGGTAACCTCTATCTACGGAGCACATCGACAACCGCAGCG